AGAAGAGAGAAGACAATCATGACATCAATAAGAATAAGAATCATCATCTTCATTGCTTTCATCTGCATCAGAATTGAGGCTGTCATCATCAGAATCATCACCCTCTTCAACATAGTCCGCTTCTTCCAGGGATTCTTCTGAATCTGCCTCCTCTTCTTCTATCTCCCTTCGTGAAGTACCAGCATAAGAAGTTGCTCGAGTGGCCCTCCTAGGATCAGAAGCTTGCCTTGAAGACTCCTCGACCACTTGCCATGTCAAATCCTCCCCAGGGAAGACCTACTCAGTACCAGGGTCACTAAGTAGACAATTTGAAGCATTCTTCATGTCTTTCGAAGAGATAGGGTCCTTCTTTGGCTGGTTTTTCTTCTCCTTGAACCTTTGATTCTCTCTAACAAAAACCAAGTCATTGAGCTTCCTTTGCTCAAGCCTATTTCTTCTCTTTGTATGCGCCTATAAGGAATATCTGCCTTAATGCCATATCTTTCCCAAATGACATCAAAGAATACTTTTACAAAATTAGCTCTTCAGTTGATATCTTATCTTGGATATTTGGATCAGGAACTAATTTCTCAAGGCACTCATTAAAACCCTCCATAATTACCCCTTTTGACTCAATATCTGCATCTGCATAAAAGAATTTGGGATTCATGTAGTACCCCATTGCATGCAATGGTCTATGGAGATGCCTATCCCATTTATCATTTACAATCTCCCGAATTGGGGCATCCTTCGCTGCATCATTGCCCAAATTCTCTGCAATCTCATTCTTAGCCCTTTCCATTGCATCATATATAAAGCCCATGGAGGGCTTATCAACATCAACCAAGCGTAAGACCTTCACCAAGGGAAAAAATACTAATATCGCATGCTTCACCCCACGCCAAAAATATTTCGAAAGAATAATATCTCGTGTCTTCATTCCCTTAGCATCTCTAGACCACTTACACTTGCTCCACTCCTCTGAAGCAAACATAGACCTTAATGCGATCTTCCTCTTATACATGCTCTGTAGACTAAGGTAGGCAGTGACAAATCAAGTGACCAGGCCTCACTAGCTCTGTCTTTTTGTAAACTTGCGCATCATGCTAAGGGTAAGTATGTGACTGTATATGAAGATTGTAACTCCTTAGCCTTAAAAATAATTCCTTTAATAGGAGGCAATTCACCAATTGCCTCAAGCATAAGATCTACGCAATGTGCAGCGCAAGGAGTCCAAAATATGCGAGGCTTCTTTTGTTGAAGAAAATGACCTGCAGCTAGATTGGGAGCAGCATTATCTGTGACCACTTGAATTACATGTTCCTCCCCAACCTCCTCAATACCCTTATCAATGAAAGAAAATATATAATGTGCATCATGAACATCATTGGAAGCATCGATTGAGCACAAAAAAATTGTACCCATGGGACAATTTACTAATAAATTCATGTTACTCTTATCACTCCACATATCTGTCATTAAAGAAACCCCAAATTTAGCCCATCCCTCATTATGAGTCTTGAGATATTCCTTAATGTACTCGACTTCTTTCTTCAGTAGTGGCTCTCCAATCTCATAAGGAGTTGGAGCTTTCAAACCTGGTCCAAATTGCTCAATTACTTCCAACATTGTATGGAAGCTATTCAAACTAGCAGTGTTAAAAGAATACCAGCATGGTAAAACCACCTATATACTGAATCACCGTGGCTCCATCTTCCTTTTTAAACCTATTTTCAATTGTCACTTGTTTTCTCCCCTTTCCCTTGCCTTTCTCAATTTCTATCTCAGGGCTAGATGTAAAAAAACTATTTATAGGCCCTCTCGTACAAGCCTTCTTAGACCCAAAAGCCCTCTTGGTCTTAGAGCTCTGAGTACCAACCATGGCTAGCTCTTCTTCCCCCTCTTCATCATCCTCTTCTTCAGTTTCAATATTATCATAAAAAATATGAACCCTTGACTTTAATTCTGCTATATCCTTTTTTTTTGCAACTTTTTTACTCTTTCCAGCTTCAATGTACTCCAAAATTTCTTTCTTTACAAGTTCTGAGACTTTCTTACATGGGGCGGTGTCACCTCTAATACCGGTAAGATGTTTCTTAAATCTATTTATGCCGGCATTAGAAACATGTCCACAGAAATTGCACATAATTTTATTTTTGTCATTCTTATCCGGGTTAGCACAATATTTCTATCCCGGATCTCCACCCTTAGTAGACCCCACAAAAGACATCTCAAATTGAAAAAATAAATCTCAAATAAAGATTACAGATTGACCTTTTCTACCCAATGTCTGATCTTCGATGTTGGCTATCTCAGTCGAGCTACGAATCAACTTAAAAGCCTTCTAATACCACCAATGGCACCCTAAAACTAATTTCAATCAGAAAAACAAACTTTTTCAATCCACAAGAAGTACTTTCCATTCTCAGCAATTGCTTTAGATTCTCATAAATAAGTTTAAGATTGAGGGTTTCTTGTTTTTTTTCAGTTTGGAGTTGAAAAATAAATCCCTAAACTTATTTTATACAAACTTGAGGGTCAAAATGACCCCCTTTGTCCTTTTGGGCGAAGTTAAAAAAAAAAAATTGTAAACTATGCTGGGCGCTGGGCGCCAGCTCAGGTAGAGCCGCTTGTGTTGGGGCACCCATATCAAGGCGTGCGAAAATTTTTTTTGGGCGCCTAGGCGCCGGGCGGTCCGTTTTTTTAAACATTGAACATAGGAAAATAAGAAATTCAAAAATTTTGTTGAAATTGTTCCTTTGAAAATTCCTCGAAAAGCTAATCAGAGGTGTTCTCCATCAGAACAATAAAGGCGTTATGCTCATTACTAAACTTGTTGAAGAGATGAAATAGAACCAAGGTCTAGCTTTTTAATAAAAGTTTGAATTGATCATTAGAATTAGAAGTAGGCCAAAAATCAAGATACATTTTGGGAATGAAACTTCCATGGAAGAGAAGCAAATGAAAGGCTTTCATAAGAATTCTCATAGAATCGTTCTACCACAATACTAATAGTATATGTGGATGATATTGTGCTCAAAGGAAATAATGATCACGAAATTCAAAAAGTGAGAGTTCTTAAGGGGTGTTTTTAACATCAAGGATCTTGGTTCATTGAAATAATACCTTGGAATAGAGGTGGCTAAGTCTAAACAAGGAATTTTTTTGTCTCAAAGGACCATGTGATGGCGGGAAAAATTATTCAGGAAAAGGTTGATTTAACTTCCCACCCTTCCTTCCTGCATCACAATGACATGAATGCTTGGAGTTAAACCAATAGAATCTCTTATAGAGGTTAATCACAAACTCTATGATCGACAGTCAGAGCCTCTGAGTATCCATGGTGTATATCAAAGAATAGTGGGTAGAGTTGTTTATTTGACTATCAAATGGCCAAACATTGCATATACTGTAAGCAGCTTATGCATTGATGGATTCCTGCATCATGCACACACCATGCTCCCATCCCATGGAGGTTGTTTATTGCATTTTACGATATTAACAATCTGCTCTAGGGAGAGGGCTACTTTATACCAGTCATGGTCATCTTGATGTACAAGGTTTTGGCAAGGCGGATTGGGACGGGTGTTCTCTTGTTCGACGATCTACCAGTAGCTATTTTATGACAGTGGGTGATAATTTGATCACCTGGAAGAGTAAAAAGCAAGGTGTTATAGCTCGATCTTCAACAGAAGCCGAATATCGAGCAATGGAAAGTGCTACATGCAAAATATTTTGGCTTCATTCTCTTCTTCAAGAGATGGGTATCAAAGTATCAACTCCTATTCCTCTACATTGTGATAATTAAGCAGAAAAATATCCCATTCCTCTACATTGTGATAATCAAGCGGAAATTTATTTTGCCTCGAATCCGGTATTTCATGAAAGAATAAAGCACATTGAGGTTGACTGCCACTTTTTCAGACAAAAGGTCGCTTCAAAGACAATATGTACTCTATTTGTTCACTACGAGAATCAATTGGCAGACCTACTTACTAAGGCCTCTAATTGAGTTTGACGAAAGGATACTCTGAACAAGCTACACATATATGATATATATGCTCCAGCTTGAGGGGGAGTGTAGCAACTGTTGTGGGCTCATGCCCATTAAAACCTGTATAATAGGTGTAAGTCCTATACACAAGCTACGCATATATGATATATGCTCCAGCTTGAGGGGGAGTGTAGCAAATGTTATGGCATCATGTAGTGGCTATTATGGTGTTATAGGCTCACACCTATTAAAACATCAACTCCTATGAATAATGGACCTCATGCCCATCAAAACTTGCTGTAACAGTTATTGTAAGTCCTGCTGTAATGGTTGTAATTCTTTTGCATGTTGACGTACCCATATGTAAACCCCATAGGCATCCGTGCAAATATAGGGCACACTGCCGTACAATTTGTAGTGTATCAAAAACATATGTATTTACTTTATCTTGTGATTGAATATTACTCTCTATTGCTCTCTTCTCTCTCAATCTTAACAATTCCAATTGGTGCTTCTATGCTCCTATGGCTGAAATAACTCAATTTAGCTTCATTAGTGCCCCAAAAGAAAATAAAAATAAGAAAACCCACGGCATGTGACGTCATATCGAGCACCTTGGAAATAACCATGCCATTAAGATAACAAATATCTCAAATAGTCAGACCTACGGATATCACTTCCCAAACTTTCCCAGTACTGCTCTCTCTAACATGCACACATACACTACAACCACATCATAGATGAATGTTTATGAGCCAATGCAAGTGTCCTGGATGGTGCTGAGACTGCACAATAAGAAAAGAAGTTTTTCTAGATACTTGGCAAGATCACCTTAACCAACCCTTAGTTAAAGAGGCAAAGAACAACACTTACAATTACCAAATATCTTATTGAAGTATTTCTCCGAGTTACATGCATAAGAAGAAGATGACCATATAATTCATCAAATCAAATAGGAATGTATTGCACAAAAAGATAAACAAACTCATGGTAATAGTTATAAATCTATAATAACAGCCCCAATTACCTTCTCTTTGAAAATGTGATGGTCACTGAAATCCATAATGTCTACATGCAATGCACCAAGCTGCAAAGAAATGGAGCATTCCATAAAAATTAGATCAATAAAAGTTTCATATCAATTTTTTTTCCTTATTTAGAACCAATGAAAGTTCAATATCATTATCAAATCAATGTCACTATCCAAAGAAGATAAGAAGGGGTAGTTGTGTATGTGTGTGTGTTTGTGTGTGAAACGATTTGGTGTACATGTGTGACCGAGTTTTTGATCCGAAAATTTTTCAGAGCATTTAAAAATAATCAATTTAGAGCTCAAAGAATGATGCAAATCAAGAAACCCTCGAGAATTAACCATAGACCATCCATTTGAGGGACAATCGGATCTACAGCTTCAAGGGCTCAAAATCGATTTTTCAATACTGCAACTGTTCATGAGGTGGATCCAAGCTAATCAGTTTTCAGATAGAAAGGATGCCCTTGATATGTGGTCCCATGAGATTAAAAAGATCCCCTCAGTTATGTAGTCCTATAAGATCTAAAAGATTTCCAAGCTAGTTGCTCCCATGAGATCAATTTACTTTGTTTACATGGATGGCCCCCTTCCAATCAAATGGATGCCAGAGATTACATTTAATAAAGCATCACTTTCAAAGGGCAACTGTGACAATGCTTGTCTTTCTCTGTATTCCTCTTTGCTTCTTTCTATGTATATGTAGATATCACACTTTGACATCAAGTGCCTCCCAGGATATGACTACAAACCCATGTAATCTTTAGCAGTCAACATTTTTTTGAAGAAATCTTTAGCAGTCAACATTGCAATTATAAACAAATAATTTTACAATCAATTACACTCTTCTTCATGCCTCTGGCATTTGATCTTTTTTACTTGTTTTATCACCAATTTACCTCATCGAATGTGTATTATGTTCCCAACTTAGTAATAAATTTTGTCTGCATGGGACAACTTGTTGGGAATAATTATTCTATCTATGCATCTAATCAATGAAGCATTGTTTAGGATCTTGTCCCAGAGAAACTGATTGGTACAGATTATATGACTAGATTATTATATATCTCCTCTAGTTGGACTTGGACATTGTATCTTCTGTTACACAACGCCATGCAGCCTCTCAAGGAATCAATCAAGTCAACCTCCAAGCGAAGTTGTCACAGTCATATTGGACCACTGGTTCAAATAGAGTTATACCATTTGCAATCAGGTTTAATCCTGGCGGTTCCCTTGAGAACAAACATGCTTTTGATGTTTATAGTGAAGTTCTAAAGTCACTATGCATCTAGCTATTATTGCATTAGATTACAGCAATTGGCACCTCTTCTTGATGCATGTGGTCAACTTAAGACTAACAATACTTTTATCGTCTTTAAAACCTGTTCTAGCTTAGTTGAAACTTAATTGCAAATATGAACGAAATTCTTGGCTCTCACTTAGAGGGCATATATGCACTACGCATTTTAACCATTTTGACCATTTAAGGGATTATAAGCAGCTCTAGGAAAACGCAAATTCTGCAGGGCTACTCAGCCACAACTGGAACTGCCTCAACGTGCAGAGTCAAATAATGCAACCGGAAAAACTACTGAGTTTTTCAAACTAAACGTGAAGAATTAAAGAAAGATGCGCATATTGGGAACCAAACACAGCTCCTCACCAAAGGTATGTCAGTATGCTACCACAATGGAGAAAACATGTGTTAGTCAATCAACATAGAATTCATATCAAAATGTAAAGCTCTGATATAACTTCGTGTTAGTTACATTTGTTTACAATGCAAATATGAAGAGATCTTAATTGAAACCTCCCCCAAATTTATGCTTTACACTGTTAAAAATTACAATCGATAGAAAGTGGGGTTCCACCAAATTACGGATCAGAAAGAATCCTAATCTCGCAAGATCAACCTTATTTGAGAACTGCACAGAGCTGGCTTGAAATCATACAAAATCATAATAAAACCCAGAAACTAAAATTAGATTGAACTAAACTAAATTAAACTAAAAATAAAGGAAAAGAGGAAAAAAGAGGAAAACTTACCTACTCGGGCCTATTGCCTGGTACACTTGAGGACCCAAAGTTGGTGCTCGTATTAGACCGCCGGTTATTTACACCGTTCTCCTTCTTTTTTCTAGAAGAATGCTAGGGGATGTGCACCATAGGGCTTTTTGTTTGCTTAGGGAATTCTTGTCCAAATTTTGAAATCAAGCTTTTGAAATTGTAGAGAATTGGCTAGGATTTTCCTAGATATAGGGTTTGTAGGTATTAGACTAGCCTAAGGGATTTGTGGATAATTATCTAAGATTTTTTGGGATTTTCTAGTCTTTCTAATTTCCAAGGGACTTCTAGGGTTTTTCTATGAATTTATATGGATTCTTGATTTTCCTAGGGTTTTTAGCTATTTTTCTTAATTTTCTAGGCTTCCTAATTTCCAAAGGATTTTCTAAGGTTTTTCTAGGATTTTTTTGATGTTCTCCTGATTTTTTAAGAGTTAGCTCATGAATTTTGGTTCATTTTCTATGGAGAGAGGGGTTTATATAGGCTTGGGTCTTAGGCATATCCTAGAAAATAATTCTTGGAGATTATGAGTTCTAGTTTGATTATGGTTAGGTTTCCTAGGTTCAAATTGGGTCAAAAGCAGAGCCAAACTAAATCCAAGAACCTTCTAGAAGATTCTAGAAAAAACCTAAATAATATTAGAACCTTCTAGAAGATTCCAAAGAAAAACTAAATAATATTACCTAATTTTTTAAAACTTTTGGGAATTTCTTGGGACTGACAAAGGAAAATGACGCATATCTTGACATCTAGCGCAATGGGCTTGATGACGCGCTCCGTGTCGTTACAAAATGAAATTTTCTACGAAAAAATTTGTTTGGGCCCTAAGTATTGGATTTGAGTGATTCTTGGGCCATTTGAAAGCTTGTGATCTCCTCTGTAATTTATAATCAAGTTTGACCTAGTTTGATTGCATGTTAAGGGACCTACAAGGCTAGGACTTTAGGGTATCGATTTTTAGGTTTCTGAGTGTCGGGGTGTTGGGGTTAGTTTTCTATGATTATTAAGTTCAATGGTGTCTAGAATGACAAGTTTGACATATTGGAGAGGTTTAAAGTTTGGGTTTTAGGTATGAGAAAGTGGCTAGGATACGGAGTTATAGTTTTTAAGAAATTTAGGGTTTTAAGAATTAAGAAAACTAGCCAATTTCAAATTGGGTGGCTATACATTTATAAATACTCACTCACTTGATGAGTCGAGTTGATGGAGGAGAATTGTTTCTGCCCAAACGAGTTCTTGTTCAAGTTGACCACGCAAGTGAAAAGGAAAATGGTGCACTAGAATGTAAAATCCATCACATTGAAGTGCAAATATCGTACTGAATCATATGTTCCTATAAGTCTTTGAGTTAAAGTTGTTTCAACACATCTTGTCAATAGATTGTCTACTTTCTGAACAATTTAATCTAATTTGTTCCATATATTGTAGAGCTACCTAAACTATTCCAGCGTAAAAAAGGTCTTTGGGTTTGTATGTTTTGTACTTCCTCATGAACATGACCAGTCAAATGTAAATTATGCAAAACGTACTTCTTTAGGCAATGCGGAAACCCAAAAGAGCTATTGCTGCTATGATCCTATAGGCCAACATGTTTGTATTTTAGGACAGTTTTTATTGAAAATGTACCCTTATGTACATATCCATTCATCCCCAATTCTATGGCATGTTTCCACAACCAACATTAACATACTCTGCCCTTAGGTTCTCCTTGACAAGTTAATTATGGATGCTCAAAAGTCCCCATGTGTAAGAAAGAAAACAGGTGACCATGCCCAGGAATTGGGCCCCCTTCCTTCTAAGAAGAAGCCTATTGTACATAAGAGCATTTAGACACCCAAATTTTGGTCAGACGGCACTATGGAGTGATACAAAGCTACACCAGTACCCCAAGGACTTGGAAGCATTGACCATTAAGAAACAGCCATTCAATAGGGTCCTTCAATAGAAACTATATGACGAAGTTCATACATTTTTCAAATCTATAACCCCAATAAGCACAATTGAAAGATGACCAAGAAAAGAATGGGACAAGAACATAATGTGTCAAAGAATGTAGTACCTTTTTAATTGTTCGTACAAAAGCTTCAGCACAACCAATTGCAGAAACACATAAGACAATTGTATTCGCCGCTAGCTTTAATGGCAATGTGGAAGAATGATTTTTAGCTTCAAAGAAGTAGCAAGGAACCAGTCTACTAAAGAAAATATTTATTGTATCCTTAACTTCAATGATCCTTGACTTAATACTTCTGAGTTGAGCATAGGATACCTTCATCACAATAGAGAAAAACATGTTACTAAACATTTCACAGGACAGTTTTGGATTGCCTAGCAGCACTAGCAGCAGGCAGTGGTCTAATGGGTTATAGTGTTAACCACTCAAACCCATTGTCCCAAGTTTGAACCAAATAAATATTTTAGGCACATTCTATTTGAATGTTCATTTGCTACAACAGGAGAATGAAAAAGAACATTTGCCAAAATAAACACCAACTCCAATCCCACATTCACTGCTGGAAAGAAACTATCACAGTTGCGAGTTATAAACCAATGAATGCTTTTTCTTTGGGTAGGTCAGCATTGGGATTCGAACCAGGGATGCTGATCTACCCAAAGAACTGCTTATTAGTAAATCACATTAGAAAGTGTTGCATAGTAGGTGTAAAGATGCTAAAGGGTAAATGAACTTAAGGATGAGGGCCTCCATCAAACAATGCTTGAACATGCATACTACACTCAGCAAGATTATTTTCCATATGTTTAGTGTCAATCCAGCACCAACAACATTGCTTTGTCATAGAATTTAGGGATTGCTGGGATTCCCCTATCTCATTCCAACTCTCCAAACCCCTTGTTGTCATATGCACGCGTACATGCACATGGGTGAACACACGCACATTCACAGACAGAGTTAAGAGTTACTGATAAAGGAATTGACATGTTTCGGAGCCAATGAAAGGTTCTTGAAGGTGGAAATAGGATGGGGGATTCCGTAACTTCCCCAAAGAGTATAATTTGATATTTTGGAAATCATGCCTTTGGGGGTGTAAGTGGGGTTGGGGTTTATTATATACAAATATCTTATGTGTCATTCATTACTTCCTCTATAAATTATACCTTGCCAATGGAATATGTTGGCTTTTGTAATATTTCATAAGCATAGAGAAGCTAACCTATCCTATTTTAAAACTAGAATGACTTGATGCTTCAATCAGTCAAAAGTCTTAAACGTTGGTCAGTTCTAGCAACAGTCTATTTTTTTTTCCCTTGATGATTTGTCTGTTCTAGAAACATCGTCATACTAGGGAAAATGGCACATCAAGAATTGGAATGTATTGGATTCACAGCTCTCTAGTTTATACAAATTTTGAGTACCGTACTCAAAATAACAATAGAAAATAACCAGACATATATGCAGGGATAACTCATCCAGTAGATCAATGTTCAAGAAGGCGGATGCAGCTGCTTAGGTAGGCGCCCAGATACTTGGGCGGCCCTAAGGGAAGGAGGTTGGGGTGGGGCCATATGTTGTTTTGTGTGTGTGTGTGTTTTGTGAATGTGTGAGTGTGTGCATGCACATGAATATGTGTGCGTGAGGTCTCGCATGAAATTCTTAAAAATCATCCTCTTTTTTTCTTTTGGATCTGTATTTGTGAGAGAGAGGTTATGAACACTTGGAGGATACGTCGAGAGAGAGAGAGAAAGAGAGAGAGAGATAGAGTCTGCGAGAGAGAGGGACCTTGCATCGAACACTTGGAGGTTATCTTATTCTTTTTCTTCTTCTTAAATGAAAAGAGGGAGCATATGGGTCCATGTGTATCTTTGTAGGTATATGTGTGTATGTGTGTGTGTGAGAGAGAGAGGTCGCGCATCGAATACTTGGAGTCCATGTTCTTCTTCTTCTTCTCATACGTAGAGAGAGCACATGGACCCAAGAGAGAGAAAGGCAATACCAGAACTAATTTTTGTTTAGGTGGAGTTGAATTATTATTTTTTTTGTTTTAAGGGATGGCACCAAGTGGCTGCCCAGACTGTCTAGGCGTCCGCCTTGACCGCCTAGGTGCCTGCCTTAAGCATGCCCGCCCACACCCCACCACCTAGACTATGCCTAGGAAGTTTGTCGGCCAGGTGGCGACTTTTTTTTCAGTGCAGTAGATAAAGAAACAACTACTCTAAGAGAAAAAAAAAGGCTACTCTACAAGTTACAAAACTCAATAAAGTCAAAATGGCTATTAACCTCAAGGCAACTCTCTTTCACACACCGAATTCCTCCAAACCTTATAAAACATTTGACAAAAAAGGTAGAAACCCATTTGGATTTATTCCCAAACCAAACCCGAGGACGATCACTCGAGAAGATCCCTTGCTCTCTTTAGAAAACCTAGACCATTCTCTCTTGGATATTATTAATTTTGGGAACACCTACATAGGCCTAACCCAAGATATCTGTTGTTTTCGACCTCACATAATTATTTGCAATTATTTTTCTGCAAGTCTTAATGTCAACATCTGGACTACTATTGGACACATAATGATTAATCCTTCAATTCTTTTCTTAATGAAAATCAGTTTCTCTTTAACTTCAACATGGTACACATATCAAAACTAGTAAAACCAAACCAAACACCAACGTGGTATAGGAGTCACTCCCTGTAACAAAGACAACAACATGGTATCAGAATCAGCATGTTCAACACAAAACATCCTATACATGTATTGACACCTCAGATATGCCACCTGACACATTTTTCTGGTGTCATGATGTATTTTCTTTTTTGGTTGTTTGCACCAACCACTCTAGGCTCTGCATGTAAGCCAAGAACATAAGTCTGTCCAAAATTTTGAACATGCTTCTTGAAATTCAAGAAATGCACTCCATTGATTTAGGTGTGTACGGAATGTGTCCAAAACTTTAAATGTCGGCCAAGATTTCGACATGCATCATAATTTTTTATTAATTTATTGTTATTTAATTAATATTTAAGATTTATATACAAGTACTCTCAGTTACACATGTCGGGATCTAAGCATTATAAGGATGTGTATCTAACAACCCTTCTCTTGGGAGCCATGGCAGACACCATGTCAGTGCCCAAATTAATTTGCTTACCCGTGTCATTGTAATGTAGGATCCCATCAAACCAAAACAAAAAAAATTTAATCTAACTACAGACCCCACAAAAAAAAAACATCACTCCAACCCTTAAGTTTGTTTTTGAGTTTTTTGAGATAGAATCTATAAAAGTTTTAGATCACATACCAATATTATTTATGTAATACGTTAGAACACGTTTCTGTAGCATCACAACTTCAGATAACAAAGATGTAGAAAGGCATGACTTTGATAAACCTGATATGCTAATTTAAGGCCCTATACTGAAGTTTCATGACAAAAGGATCTTCGACTACCATGATCAAGTGGAATTTAACATATCTTTCAAGAAAATCATACATCATATTGTTAGGAGCACTTTTTTTGCACAGACAAGAAACTTAACTCTGCCAATGCCAATCTCAAGCCCAGATGAGAAAGGAGGAAGGTCATGTTAGGTTGGCAGCTAGTAGAAAACTTTTGCACATACATATTATGAATCCTGATCCAACAGTGACTCATAGTTCGACTGAGGGTGTGGCCCTTGATAGAGCAGAATTGGGGAAAAGGATTCGTAAAGCCAACCACAAATAGTTGGAATAAGGCTCAGATGATGATGATGATGTGAGATGAGAAACTTATATTTATTTAGAATTCTTAGAGCAGTCCTAACTTACTTGGGAACTCTACTAAGCTTTGCAACCAATAGATTCTTTAGTGGAGGCATATTGAAATTTCTTTGAGGGGTTCTTCTAGGAATGAAAGATTCTTTTTAATTTTTTTATCGCTACATTTTTTGGTCTCGCCTAGTTGTCATGCTTTTGGCCTTGAGTGAAGTTATCCTACAACTTTTCAATTCTATCAACTATGGTGTACAAGATCCTAGTATACTTTGGTTTATTGAAATTCACTTCGTACTTCCAGATTTCGGAAAAACACAATAAATGTAGAAATTCAAGATTAGCTCTTACTTTTCTTGGGGGAAAAAAATGAGAAAATTATTTCTTGTAATTTACAAGGTCTAATTTGGTGCTTCATTTGCTAGCTATGGTTTAATGGATCTTTTTGGAATCCCAAAGAGTCCCAATCATTGTTCTTTTTTTCTTTTTTCAACATCTTGAAGCCGCGCGTTCTAATCATAATTATCAAATCTCTCACTGAAGGTCACAATTCCTATTCAAAAACCTGATTCAGCGAATTCCAACTAGAAATCTTCACGGGATCCGTTTTTGTGAAGTCTAGAATCTCGATTCCTTATTTTAAGAATCTCGAATCCAACACTTATAAAATCTCGTTTCCAATATTTACTGATTTTTTATTCTGCAATTGGTGAATCTCATTCTACACTTGTTTAGAAGTTTTTAAGCATCAAACTACTCAGGCTAGACACTCAATCTCAAGCTACAAGGTACTCATAATTATTGGCATGAAATAACCAATAGAAACTGAAGTGTTGGTGCAAGTTCTCTACATAATTATTTACGTATGCATTGGATTGGTTCAATGGAGAGATTGCAATGTATTATAATGTAAACATGCATGTATGGCATGTTGGTCAATGAATGGCATTGAGACACGTATTATTTCGCTCTCAGTTCCCTCTCGATTCTAAAGATATTGAAATCTCTATTCCATATTGGACGATTCCATCTATGTAGCAATCTCGATTCTATTTTGGTCGAATCTTGATTCTTAAAAATAAGAATCTCACCCCCTCTAATTCCTCTTGTATGGACGTTGATTCTGAAAAAAGGAATCTTCCAACAGGTGGTGATTCCACGCTTCCAATTCCTAAATCAATTGGTTTTGGGAAACTATGGTTCTCATCCATTTAGAATTCATCAACCTCTATCAAATATCTAGGGCCCAATTCGGAGACCGTCCTGCAATAAGACTGAAATATAGCTAATGATACACCCATGATGCAATGACATGAAATACTTTCTATTGTTGCCTATTTGGGAGCTCATCATCAGGCATTTCCCCATCAATTAAATCGATCATAAATGGAGGTGGCATGCAATCTTTCAGCATCTTTTCAAAAAATAATGCAAATCTACATTAGGAGATTTACGAACATGTAGCTGGATACTTTTTTTAATGCTCTGCATTTTCCATTTCAAAGAGACAATCCATGGTCTCAAACAGGTTCCTAGAGCTTGCTTGAGCAGTTTCAC